TATCTGTGTCCGCCGCACGATTCGAACTCCCGATCTGTTTATTACTAATTAACAGTTGCCACGTCATCAATTATGTACCATTAAGCCACATGGGTTGTGCGTACTAATCCGTCGTTTCGACACGTCATCAATCATTACGCCAGAACCCCTCTGGAAAAAAAAAAGAAATCTGAGCTCTTGGCCGAGACTCCCGTCAGCCCCTGCCAGCTAGCACGCTACCCCAGATCCGATAATCGTCACTGACCAAAGGAAGGAGGCCAGATGAGGCCAGATGAGGCCAGTGAGTACAGGTCCTCTCCTACCTAACGCACCCCCGCGCCGCCATCACTATTAACAAAGCCAGATCACAGTGGCAGGAAGCAGCGCAACCGGTTGATTGGAACATAGATGTCCTCGGGATCGGGATGTCCCCGCTCGGTATAACATTTCCAGAGAACGGATAAGGTCATCTTTATTCCAGTTAGTCCGGTCGAGATAGCATTTCCAGAGACGGGGGGGCGGAAGTAGGGAGGAGGAATGGGAGGAGGGGGGAGGGGGAGGGAGGGGGAGGGCGGGAGGAAGAGGCGGATCATCTTAAGAGAATGGATAAGACCATCTTCCACGCAAAGCAACTCCCACATGGAGACCCGCTCATCTCCATTCCCGTACCCTTGCCGGTGATATGATGAGATGGCAGATCGGACACGGAGATCGGGACGCATGTTCCACGCAATCGGCGGAGACGACAGCGCCTGTGGTTGACTAATGTGATCTGCTTTGACACAAGACTACAGTAGAAGGAGAGGAAGAAAGAGAGGTGGGCGAGTGTCGGTGAGCCAGTGGGTGTGCGGCCGAGTAGGAGGCTGGCCGGGTGGGTGGAGAGGAAGGTGAATGGGTGGCGTGTAGGGGTTATCAGAAGTGAGCGAGTGAGTTAATCATACTGGGGATGAATAAGGGCGCGAACGAGTTGGTGAGGTCATACTCACTTGGGTCTGATTTTCGGGTTTGGGGTTCAATCTGTCTGTCTGTTCGCCGTGATTGCGGTCAATTCATCAAAGGAAGTCGCCGACTGATTATTCTCCGACGGAGAGCGGGGTTGCAGAAGCGAGGGTGTGAGCGGCAAACACTCGCGACTGAGCACCAGGTCGTCAGTCCAATGGCTTCGTGATTCACAGAGGGGACAGATGCATGCACCGAGTTCCCCAAGAGAGAGAAAGGGCGGGCGAGCGAACGAAGAGCCTCGCCAAGCGGTTCACAAAACGGACTGTTCAGGGTAGTTTCGTTCGTTCGGCACCGCCAAGCAAAAAACAACCTGGGATGGGACTTCCCGCCCAGGAACGAATTTTATTCCCGAGATGTCAGCCCGCATTCACCCAGGGCCAAGTCCCAGTAGCAGCATTGAGCTACCTCAACGCCTGAATCTGGACGCGTTTGTGGAGACGTGCAGTTCAGCAAACTCAACACCATTTCTGCACATCTGAGCAAAAGCCTCCAGATTCAGGCGTTGAGGTAGCTCAACGCTGCTAGTGGGACTTGGCCCCCGCCCTGGGACTTCCCGCCCAGGAACGAATTATTCCCGAGAGATGTCAGAGAATGGATACGCCCGCATTCACCCGCGCCGAAGTCGCGGAGGTGAAGCGACGCCAGCCTGAGAGACGCCTACCGGCAGCCCCCGACAGAGAATGGATACGCGACCTACCACGGTAGCTGTATTTTCCGAAGCGCTACCCAGGGGTCGCCTGACCTGCCTGCTATTTGCCCGCCCCCTCTGCTTTGTTCCTGCCTGCCTGCTATATGCGACCTACCAGAGTAGCGTTACCGTAGCGTTACCGAAGCGCTACCCAGGGGTCTCTGTGTGTGTGTGTGTGTGTGCGCGAACTGTCCTGCTCTCTCTCTCTCTCTCTCTCTCTCTCTCTCTCTCTCTCTCTCTCTCTCTCTCTCTCTCTCTGTGTGTGTGTGTGTGTGTGTGTGCGAACTGTACTGCTCGACCTANCTCTCTCTCTCTCTCTCTCTCTCTCTCTCTCTCTCTCTCTCTCTCTCTCTCTCTCTCTCTGTGTGTGTGTGTGTGTGTGTGTGTGTGCGAACTGTACTGCTCGACCTAGCTACCGGGGCCGACGACTTACCTGGGCCGCCTGACCTACCTGCTTTACGCGACCCTCTCTCTCTCTCTCTCTCTCTCTCTCTCTCTCTCTCTCTCTCTCTCTCTCTTTGTGTGTGTGTGCGTGCGTGTGTGTGTGTGTGTGCGTGTGTGTGTGTGTGTGTGTGCGTGTGTGTGTGCGTGCGATCTGTCCTGCCCGACCGACCACCGGGCCCGACCACCTACCTGGGCCGCCTGACCTACCTGCTCTGCCGAAGCGCTACCAGGGGTCTCTCTCTCTCTCCCCCCTTCCCCCCCCCCCGGCTACGAGATCTCCCCTACGCCACCTACCATGCTGCTTTGCGTAGGCGACCTACCGTGCGACGTGTGATGTGCTAGATGCTTCTTGCATAGGTGCTGGCGACGTGACTTGGGCTCTCTTTCCCCCTACAACTACGTGCTTTCGAGAACTTCGTGTTTCCTAAATGTGTGCTACGTTGCACGTGCCACGTGCTACGTCCTACGTGCGTCGGTGCGGGCAGCGTAAATCTGAGCTTGGTGCTACCTGATTCTTGAGCTTGGTGCTACGTGTTTCATGAGGTTGGTGCTACGTGAACTGTCCTGCGTGCCACGGGAACTTCAACGTGGCTGACCGCAACGTGTGCTTGAGGCATTGTCTACATTTGTGGAACGGCTGGGCTAATAAGGGTTGCGCATTGTTGGTTGATCGTTGTCGGCTGGAGGCTTTGTCGGCATGGCTGACAGAAGAGGGTCTCCATTTCTCTTACCTCCCTCCACGGGACCTCTCTCCTTCTTCTGTCCGCCCGGTCTCCGCCCGATCTCCGCCTGAACTCCGCCTGATCTCCGCCTGACCTCCTCCTTCTTTCCGCCCTATCTCCTCCGTCCCTCCTCCCTCCACTCCTTTCTCCTCCCGACCTCCGCTGGACCTCCTCCCTGCTTCCTCCCTCGGCCCTCGGCCCTTGCCTTCTCCCTCGGGCCTCCCTTCTCCCTTCATTCTTCCTTCCCTCGGTATTCACTTCTTCCTCCCTCCTTCCTCCCTTGGCCCTTCCCCCTTGACCCTCCCTCCGTCCCTTCGTTCTTCCTCGGCCCTCCGTCCCTCTTTCTTTCCTTAGCGCTCTGCCCTCTCTCCCTCCTTCCCTTCTTGGCGCCCCGTCTAGCGGGTCCATTTCGTCTTTCTTTTTTACCCAATGGACGAACGCCGCATCTCGTTTCGCTCCCTGCGCGCGCGCGAGAGAGAGAGAGAGAGGATGCGTTGCTTTTGGCGCATTGAATCTAAGATAAGAAAGGACTGACAGAGGGGTAGGATTGGTAATGGAGAAGCTGGGAACGGGGGGAGGGGAAGGGGGGGAGGAGGAGGAGATAGATACGGAGGATGCGATGCTTTTGGGGAATCGAATCTGAGAAAGGAATGACAGAGGGGCTGGAGGGGTAATGGAGAATTTGGGAACGGAGGGAGAAGGGGGCGCGGGGAGGAGGGGGGCGAGAGAGAGAGAGAGAGAGAGAGAGAGAGAGAGAGAGAGAGAGAGAGAGAGAGAGAGAGAGAGAGAGGCGCGCACCATAGGCACCATCGCCTCCCAGTCTTTCGGCCTATCCTCCTCCTCTCTACTCCTCCCTCGATGCTTCTCCCTCGGCCCCGCTACTTGCTCCCTGGGGGGGTTCGGCCCTCTGTCCTTCCTCCCTCCCTCCCTCCCTCCCATCCCTCGGTTCTCCCCCCTCCCTCCCGCCCTCCGTCCCTCCCTGCCTCCTTCCTCCCTACGTTGTGCGCGATCTAGAGAGAGCATTTTGTTGGTCGTTCTTTTTCAAAGTTACGTAAACACGGCCCCGCTTTCGGCCAAACGAAATCGGATTTTCCTTTGGCGATCTGAAAGAGCGCGAGCACGCTCACGCTGGCGTGCGCGCGCGCAAGAAAAAGAGAGAGAGAGAGAGAGAGAGAGAGAGAGAGAGAGAGAGAGAGAGAGAGAGAGAGAGAGGACTGACGCACTGTGGCGGGCGTAGGGAACAGGGAGGAAGAGCGTGAACGGTTGAAAGAAACATCGATCACTTGAAATACCTGTTGCAGGTCAGTTTGATGAGGAGAATGTGAGGAGGAAGAGCTTGAGGACGAGGGAGGGAGACGAGCTGTGGGTGGTGGAGTAGACGGATAAAGGAGAAGGCGCGGGGAAGGAAGAGCCTGAAGGGGAAGGAAAAGCTTGAGGAGCATGTGGAGGAGGAGTGTTAGGTGAAATGTGCGTGTCTCTCTCTCTCTCTCTCTCTCTCTCTCTCTCTCTCTCTCTCTCTCTCTCTCTCTCTCTCTCTCTCTCTCTCTCTCTCTCTCTCNTCTCTCTCTCTCTCTCTCTCTCTCTCTCTCTCTCTCTCTCTCTCTCTCTCTCTCTCTCTCTCTCTCTCTCTCTCTCTCTCTCTCTCTTTCTTGCGCCCTTGCACCCTTATTGAGATCCTGATAAGAAATGCAGCGTTTACATCGACCACGTAAAGCGAAAGAATGAAACACACCTCTTATGACTGGTGCTAAGAAAGAAAGGAAGCCGGATCGAGGGAGACAGGAGGTTGGGTGGAGTGAGGGGTGGAGGGAGTACGTGAGGTCGGTGCCTCGGAGGAAGCAATGAGGGGGAGGTGGTGTGGGGAGAAAGGAGGTCAGGCGGAGGGTGAGATATGCAGACGGGGAGGGAGGAGGTGGGGAGAGAGAGAAGTCATGCGGAGATTGGGCGAAAGAAAAGAGGGGAGGGAGATGGGGTCAGGCTGAGGGTGAGATAGGCAAAAGGGGAGGGAGGTCGGGGGAGAGAGAAGTCATGCCGGGATTGGGCAAAAGAAAAGATGGGAGAGAGATGGTCGGGCGGAGGAAGGTTGAGGACGACGAGGGCTGGAGGAAGCTGGGGTGAAGGGGAAACGCGGCAGAGAGAAGTCGGGTGGAGGGAGGGCAGAGGTTGGGTGGAGTAAGGAGGGAGGGAAGAGGTCAGGCGAGAAGAGAGAGAGAGAGAGAGAGAGAGAGAGAGAGAGAGAGAGAGAGAGAGAGAGAGAGAGAGAGAGAGAGAGAGGTGGAGGAAGGGAAGGAGTAGGACGAATATTATGAGGAAGAGGAAGAGAACAACGATTGGAAGAGCATGAGGACGAAGAAGAGCGCGAAGAGGAGGAAGAGAGCGTGGAGAACTGAAGAGTGTCATCCGGGTAGGGCCATGCTAATATCCTCTGTGTCTGTCCTATTCAAATGGAGGGGGAAAACAAACAAACCAGCCCAGTTAATTGACAAATGGGCGCGTGAAGAGGAGGGAGAGCGAAAGGAGAGTACGGAACGGAGGGAAAAAACAAGGTGTGTGCTTGGGCGCGTGAGTGTGTGTGTGTGTGTGTGTGTGTGTGTGTGTGTGTGTGTG